GAAGGAAGGAAGGAAGGAAGGAAGGAAGGAAGGAAGGAAGGAAGGAAATTTCTTATATGGAATAGTGTGAGGACGGAATTAGGTGACTGGGTAAGCGGGGTTGGTCCTGTAAAGGAGTCTTGATCGGAAATGAGAGGTCCCACTCTCAGTCTCTACTATGTGGAGTTCTACAGGTTTCAGTATTCTTTCCACTCCTGTTTAAGATCTATCTGAAGCTGCTGGATAAGATAATCTGTCACCGTGGGGTGAGAACCATCAGTATGCTGGTGATATTCAGCTTTACATCTCTACCCCTAACGATGTCCTCCTTTTTCAGTGCCTGGAGACTTTGTGGAACTGGAGCTGTAACAGCCTTCAGCTGAACCCTGGGGCAAGACTGAGTAGAAAAACCTTTACATAGTTTCTTTTCAGTAGTCCATTAGATTGAAAAAAATAAAAAGGAAAAATATGAAAACACAAGAGTACTACTTTTGATCCAAGATAGAATAGAATTGTGAATTATTTTTTAAAAAAAACAAAGGATGTAACAACAGCAAGGGAATGTTTTAAGAACTTAGTTTTGATAGCGTTTTAAAGAAAACTACTTTTTTTAACTTTTAAAAGCCTTCAAGTATTTCTAATTAAGAATATTTTAATTTATTCCTGGCTTTCAAAGTTTCTAAATATATTCTTCAATTGTATTCCACTATTTCCACATTTTTGTTTTCAAGTTTTGTATATTTTATCTTTTACTGAACATTGTATTGGTGGTTTTAATTCATAAAAATCACGAAACTGTTACCAAATAGATTTTGCACACAATCCACAAAAATTGCAAAACAACATTCACATTTGACTAAAAATAAATAGCAGAACATAAGAGCCAGTTTGGTGTAGTGATTAAGGCATCAGACTGGAAACCAACTGGAAACAAGTGACCGAGACACTATGAATTGTAGTCCGGCTTTAGACACAAAACCAGCTGGATAACCTTGGGCTGGTTACCTTCTTTCAGCCCTAGGAAGGAGGTAATGGCAAACTTATTCTGAAAAATCTTGCCCAGGCAATCAGAAACAATTGAATGGAATAATACAGCAGGAGAGAGAGGGGGGGAGGGAGGGAGGGAGGGAGGGAG